CCGCGCTCCGCTCGTTCTCCCCGCCCCCTGCGCGGCTCCCGGCCGCTCCTGCAGGAAGCGGCGCAGGCCCTGCCCACCGGGGGAGGGGCCGCCCTCACCCCCGCCTCGCCGCCCGGCTCTGCTGGCCGCGCCTCCCGGAGAAAGGAAGCCGGGAGCGCGGGCGGGAGGGGGCGGGGGCGCTTAAAGGGACAGCCGCCGCCTCTTGGCCGGTGGGCAGTTGTTCCTACCGCCTTGGCCTCGGCTCGGGCGCTCTTCTGAGCAGTGTGAGTCACTCTCACAGTTCTGTCCCCTTTATTTTCTGCCTGAGGGCCATCCCAGGAGGGCGCGAGGCCCAATGATGGTGTGTCAGGGGTGTTAGGGAAAAGAGGAAGGTGCTGGAGGCCCAAGCCCTCTCCTAGGCAAAAAGGCTTTGCCTCACTTCGGCAGGGGTGAGGTATGCCTCCAGGTTATCGGGGTGTCCATATCTGTGTCCAGGTGGTGTATGGTCACACCCTTGCGGAGTATGCACATCGCCAATAATATGGATGCCCAGATGCTAGAGAGGTCATGAAGTGTGTCCCCCTGCGTCCAGACTAAAAATACATCTGTGCCTGCATCCAGAGAGGAAAGCGTCTGGTTGGTTTTAAGACCTTCTGAGGAATGACCACTGTAACCATAACCATGGATGGTGTTTCTGGGGCATCTGAAAGATCTGTGTACACAGTGTGTGCATACAACACACAGGGGCTATTTCTTATGAGGGTCTTTCTTTCTGGACTTCATACTGGGAGGCAGGAGAGGAACATGGTGGGGAGTGAGTGAGCAGGCCACACGTGGGTGCACCTCTGCACTGAGCATGCTCCCCTGTACACGTGTGCTCCCAGCCCCCATCCTTGCAGCAGCAAAGGGCCAGTGTGCTTTGCTTGTGGGGAGGGCAGAGGTGCTCAGGACCAGGCCTGAGGGACAGTTCAGTGATGACACAATTAATGGAGGGTTCCCCAGACATCGGGGACTCCTGGTCAGTGACAGGGCAGGGGAGACAGAGTGGTCGATTTATCCCAGCAGTGCTAGAGCAGCAGTGACTTGTGGGTGGGTAGGCTTTTTCCCTAGGGGAGACAAGTAACACTCATGAGTCACACCACCCGAAATATATGCAAAGCTGCCTTCATCGCCTTTCCCTGCAGCCCAGATTGACAAGTTTGTTTGAAATCGCGATCCACGGGATATATTTATAATCGCACCTTAAAAAAAAAAATCTTGTAGTTCTCCCCTCCCCCACAGCCCGCCGCTTCTGCCAGCAAAGCCACCTCACGGGTGTGTTTAGGGGTGGAGGAAGAAGCGCCACCTGCCGCCTGATGGGGCAGGGCACTCCCAGCAAGGGGTCAGAGGGCTTGGTAGCTCGCGCCCGCTCGGAGGACGTAGGAGTGGCCTGGTAACCTGTACTAGGCACATACCCCAGTAGCGGTGGCCGCTGGTTCACCCCCAATCGACCCCCAGCGATGGAATTTCATTTATTAAATGTCGAGATGGCTGCTGGCAGCCCTGCCGCTTGGCTGTCTTTGTTTCTCTGCTGTGTGGGCGCGTCTCAAGCACGTGGCAGCCGCAGCGCTCAGACCAGAGGGAAAGAAATCTGAGTTTACAGTCTATGGCTGTCTGGCAAAGAGAACACAGCTGCCCAGGGGACATTTCCCCTCAATCTAGGTTGAGCTCTCTACTCTTTGGGCTCCTGGGTTGTGTAGAGAAAGGATGATTCACCCCGCACCGCACCCCACCCCCACCTACTGGTGGCCCCCGAGACTACCTGGGAGCGGTCCCGGCATGGACGCACTGTCCAAATTTTGTTTCCGAACCCCCAGTTTTGTCACAGCCAAGCTTCTGGGCTTGAAGCTGGGGATACAAGGGTTTCTAGATTTCGCGGTGGAGATGTCACTATTCCAGGAAGCAGAACAGCTAAAGCAGAATCACACGCAAGGTTCTAAAATCAATTTAATGAGGAAATATACAGGTTTTCTCCTGGTCACTCCTATACGCCCCTCCCCTCATTTAACCCCCTCCCCACCTCTGGCTGCAGCGATGACACTCTGCTGACCTCTCGTGGTGGACGTGGGCAGCCGGCTCCTCCCAGGCTGGAGAAAAAAGCGTCAGTCCACTCCTCCCTCATCCTTTCCCGCCGGGCCTGGCAGGGTGTGGAGGAGGAAGGGGAGAAGCCCACACAAAGAAACCGGAGAGAGGAGTGTGTGTGTGTGTGTGTGTGTGTGTGTGTGTGTGTGTGTGTACGCAGGCTTTTTCTGGCACCTCCCACACAAACACTTCTTGGATTGTTGTTCTAACTAGGGCTGGGGTGGAATCCCTTACTTGCCTTGTTTAAGAAAGGGGGGGGGGGTTCAGGAAGGCGCTGTGTTTGGCTCTGCCACCTGTTTCAGTCCACCTGGTTGGAGAAGAAAGGTGTAGATTCGGGGGCAGTTACTATCTTTAGCTGATTTCCAGAGGTAGAATCCAGTCCAGGGGTAGGGGGACTGAAAAACTCAGAAAATGTAAACAATTTTCTTAAGGTCAGGCAGTTAGTAAGGAGGTATTTGAACCCAAGTATCTCTGACATTCAGATTCCTCCTCTCCAGGGAGCTGGCCAAGCCTCTTAGTCTTTACAGCTCTTGCAACTAGCCACCCCAGAGGTCAGTTCCACCCTGGCGGAGGCCGTTCTACAAAAACTTCTGTGCCCTGGGTCATGCAGGAAGGAAGCAGTCTTAATATTTTCCTTCCTGAGGTGCCACAAGAGGTGGAAGTCTGGAGTTGGCACCTGCTGCTTTCTCTGCTAAGCCTTACCCTGGTTCTTATTGAGCACAATGTCTAGGAGTATGGAGAAGAGGCTGTTCTCCCTACCTCACTGGACATCCTCTTTCCAATATCATATGTGGAAGATGGAGTTTATTTCTAAGAAGGCAGGGAAGACTCGAACTATTTCAGGTACCTAGCCTGGCTGCTTCAGTGACCTGTGTTACTGATGCCCTGCACCTTTCTCAGGGCTTCTCATCACTCACTCTTTTCTGGGGATTTGTAACCTTCCTCCTGGGCCCAGGGAACTAAACTCAATTCTGAAGACCCTCATCTCCCCACCCCTTCCTAAAACTCCAGTGAGGCCTGCGGTTGTCCCCCAACTCCGGCAAAATGCCAGTGGGTAGGGGTGTGCCCCACCCCATCTGGCGTCAGGGCACTGCCTCCATTTTGGCCAGACCTGACTCCCTGTTCTCAGTCTCTCAGGGAAAGAGGCAGACAGGCTTCAAGACTCTCTCAGGTCATCCACCACACTCGTTTCTACGAGGCGGACTACAAGCCCCATGATGCCGCGGGGAGAGGTATTCCACGCCTTGCTGGGACACCCGCCCCTCCCTGCTCCGCGCATCCCCGCATTCCTGTATCCCTCGCCGGCTGCTCCGGCTGAGGGCCGGGCTATGCGGTTGCGAGGAGCCGGGGGCTGCGGGCGCGCGTCCCCTGCGGCGGCGACCTCGGGACCCGCGCCCGGTGTGCCCCCGCGCCAGCTGCAGGCGCAGTTCCCTCCGCCAAGCGGCGTCTTTGTGTGCGGGGGTGTGGGAGGAGAGGCGCGAATCCGCGCCGCGGAGCACCAGCTCCCTCCTCGGGCGGGCGGGGGCCTCTCCGCGCCGCCCGCTGCCGCTGCCGCCTCGCGAGGACGCCCGCCGCCCGCACT